TCAAATGTAAAAGTTCCTCAAAATTTTATTAGGAATTTATCGGACGTAAAAATTGTACAACAAACAACTTTAAAATAAATGCGTTTTGAATTAAATATCTTTATTAATCCAAATTAGATGTATTCATAACAAATTGTCTAATTAAAGTGGTCTGCATAAGGAAAAACCTTATTTGACATTTAAGGTACATGTTTAAAAAATTGGGAATATTGCAGAAACAGTCCCTAACCTTTTCAATTTTTGCAACCTTGATTTTGTGCCAGCGAGGGTCCATAACCTTTCATAAATATGCACTTGGAGTCCAAATGGATCATTTGACCGTTAGTTGATCAAGAAAGTCAAAATCTGATTAATTTTGATCAAATGGTAAATGGCAAAATGGTATTTTACATTTTTCTAATATTAAATAAGTTAATAAATAAATAAATAATCCCAAAAACTAAAATAAATTTATAAACCCACCCACACAATCCCCCAAATAAAAAAAAAAGCCTTCTTCTTTCTCATAAATCAAACTGATTTCTGCAGCCATGGCGAGGTAACCATTTTTCTCTTTTGATGATAAAAGGCGAATCCGAGCCCCCAATTTCTTCTTTCATATGTATTTTTTAAAATTTATTATAGATCTATGATTTACTTATTCTAGAGGGAAAGAAAATTTGCTGGTTTATAATATAGGCATAAAGTTTGCAGCTTATTTTGTTGTCTATGTATTCTAAAAAAAATATATGCCCCCGTTTGAATCTTATTTTTCCAAAGATTTCTCATTTTACTACAGTAGAATTCTGGCAAAAACAGAAGTCTACAGTGGGTTGTGTCGGAGTACAGGTTCCACACACTTGACCGCTGAAATAATTTGCCCGTTTTACCCTCGACTCAAATTGCAAATTGCATCATGTGCCACACCTACCACTTTATTTGAAAGACAAAACTTGAAGGGTATTATGGAAATTTTTTAAAAGAGGGAAACACTTTTTCAGACACTGTCAGCGCCTTATGACAAAGAGTTGGCCACGAGTCCCACACGTAATGAAACAATTGTTGAAAAATGGGTAAAAAACGGGTGTCAAACGGTTATAGTTCCATTAGTATAATAACAGAATAATGTCATCCCATTTACACAAGAAAATAGCAGAAAAAAATATGGCTGTTGATTAAGAAAAATGAAAAGAAACAGGAAAGAAAAGTTTCGATGCCCAGATCTGTGGTGGACCCGACGAGAGAAAGGCGGCACCGCCATGGCTGCAAATCACTAGTTACATTTTTCTAATGCCATCTGGGTTGCCAAGCCAAGATACTGTTCGGATTGTCTCGTTGCCCAATTCACAAGAATCCAAAAACATACATTGTCACATCCCCTTAATTTGAAGATGTCTCTTGATTTGGGTGGGGCGAGGTGCGTAGAAGATGTCTTTTGATTTGGAGGGGTGTAGGGGGTGGGTTTATTTTAATTTCTAGGCTTATTTACTTATTTTTTAACTTATTTAATATTAGGAAAATGCAAAGTACTATTTTGCCCTTTATAATTTGGTCAAAATTAATCAGACTTTGACTTTCTTGATCAACTAACGGTCAAATAGATGTTTTCTATCTATTTCGACTCCAACTACATATTTATGAAAGGTTAGTGACCTTCGCTGGTACAAAATGAAAGTTAAAGTAAAGTTTACGAAAATTTAAAAGATTAGGGACTTCTACTGTAATTTTTCCCAAAAACATTATGAGAGAACCCAACGTGCGGTTCTCAACGAAAGAGAACCATACGTACATTTCTCTTGCCTTTTAAGTAAAAGAAAATATTAGGCCTTGTATGTGAGGGACTAAAATCGGATTAAAATTGAAAATATAGTCGTTATTGTTGACTTTTATTAGATGAGTGGGACCCAATAACGATCATATTTTCAATTTTAATTGGCATTTAATCCCTCCCGAACAGGACCTTAGTCTAAATTAGAATTTACATTATTTCAATGTTAAATATTTTCGAAATAAACATGTTTTGAAATAAATATCTTTATTCCTCAAAAATTTATTAGTCCAAATTAGATGTATTCA